AAAAAAAAAAACACGCCTCTCCGCTCCTTTCTATAATTCTATAGAAAGTGAAGATTATATGTCATACAGATGTGGAAAGTCTTCGGGCTTTACACTCGCGTTTAGAAACGCGAGAGTTGTGCAAAACTAAGCTGATGCGAGTTTTTGTCTATGATCGACGGCATCCAGATAAATGTAGCTGGAAGTCCTCGACTAATATCGCTAGGATGAACCGCGGCTCTCTCTCCCTCCGTGATTGATTAGGTCTGTTTTTTGTGGCTGAACCAGTATACACTTTTGGAACTTAAAATGAAATACGTATATATTTGATATTTGTCAAAAACGAGAAAGAGACTTCTAGTGCAGTCTAGTGTAGGAACAGGAAACAAACCAATGGTCTCATTTTATTCTCCCTTTTTCAATTCCCCACCACTTACGGCTTTTCGTATCTCCCTCTCTCTGGCGTTCGACCGTCGACTATTATCCGTAGCAGGTTTAAAACGCCTTCTCTAGTTTCCTGCAACTCATTCATCAACGATACGACGGATATCATCATGCGATTCTACTTCTTGATTTCTTGCACCTGGCTGGCAGCCGCCGTCTTTGTTACGCTCGTCTCTCACGGCATTCTAGTAAGCATAAATCTCAAATTTTACACATGAATTAATATATCTATTTTCATCGAATATTTCTCAACATAAGTGAATAATTTAAATGTAGTAGAACTCTGTTTATCCGAATAGATCGGAGGATAAAACAGTTCTGATAACTGAATGGTTTGAATAATAGAGGTTCATTAACTCTTCTCTCTATCAGCACTTATTAATTCCGACAAGAAAAGTTGATGTTTAGAAAACTGAAGATGAACCAGTTCCACCGATTTAAGATTAACTTTAATCTCGGTTTAATTTTCTGTTCATTTTTTCCTAATTCTTGGAAAATGAAATTTTTACAAAAAGATGAAGAGTAAATTGAACCGAGATTGAAGTAAATCTTATTATTGGTGGAGCCGAACATAAGTCACGTACGGCGCCATAAGCACCATACACCGTGATAATCTGTGATAATTTTATTATTTTGTTGCAGTCCAATGCGCAGTGGGTCGAATGTGCATCAAACAAAAATGTTGTCAACGTAGACGTTTACTATGGACCATTATGCAGTAATAGCCTGAAATGGTTTCTAGAACAGTTCTTAATATTATATCCACGATTGAAATGTCGTATCCATGTTACATTTGTTCCTTACGGTAATGCTACAGTAAGTACAATAATTTCATAATTGCGTTTTTCTCTCTGTGGTTATTTTATCGTTTTAATGAGATAAATCTTGATAATGAAAATAAAAATTGAAGTGTAAGTTAAATGTAAGAGGTATGGAATGACAGAATCGTAAATAAAGCTTCTAGGAGACGAAAATTGAGACAATAAAATGTAAAAAAGGCATTTATATATTTTTTATTGTCACAATTTTCGCCAGGAATGATAATAAGGCGACAATAAAGCGATTGACATTTCAGCATAGACAATCACGTGAAAACATAAAATACTTTGTATCCGTGTCTAAATATTCATTTAATTTGCTATGTAATGTTATACGTTCATAAATCTATTGATCCTCCAAAGCTGATATCAAAATGTGTGACACTAATTACTTATAGTATTATTTATTTTATTATTAAATTATAAATACACCGTGGTTCAATAAACACAAACAATTCTTTGTCTGAAAGGCATATACCATGAACACCAGATAGTAGTGGCGATTATTACAATTCTTTTATTAAACACATGAATTCAAAATAAACGTTTCGGTCCCAATCGGACCATCTTCAGTATTAACAGTACTATTATAATTAATTAGAATGATCCTATCATACGCAACATAATTATACAATTTAGTTAAGCCGTCAATCTTA